AGCACCCTCTACAGGTCTGATCATACCATGATCCATTTCCTCCAATGCTCCAGACCTCCAGTCAGTCGGATCTCGGGTGTTCACATGCATGCCCATGTATTTCAGGCTAACTGTACTGGGGATTGGAACTGCAATTACCATGTAGGATCCAGCTTCTCTTGCCCCCTTAGATAGGCTTAATAAAGATTAATGAATAAAACATGAACTATCTTCTATATCTAAGCATTGATTTTCTTCCATATAATATTGTCTCATATGAGCAGATTCATCTCAAATGAACACATATACATTTTCCTCTGCCAGAATAACACACTGTTTATCTAAAATTGCTCACGAAAAATTTCATATCTTCCACTAATTTTAGGAATAAAGATGTGGAGATATTTTAATTATTAAGTTTTTCCTCTCTATATAAATTCATGACAGAAAATGACAAAACAATTCATAATTAAATTAATATAAAATTTCCATAAAATCTTTTATCATATAATATTTAATGAAAAAGTTATAAAATGTGACATAAAGCATTATTACAGTTTTTATTTGAAAGTTATATTTAGGGACCAGCAGTTAGCATAATGGCTATGTCACTGAACTCCCATGTAATCGACCGTGGTTTGAGTCTCGGACTCAGTGGCTTAAACTCACACTGGGCATGTGTGCATGCGTGCCGAAGATCCCTAGAAAAGAATGGAGGAGAAGGGACTGCGGCATGACCATCCCCTCTGGGGGGGGTTTATTTCTCGCTTCCTGTCTCTCTGTCTCTCTCTTTCTGGGGAGCGCATGTGCCCTATAGCAAAAATCTCTCAAAAAAAATGAAAGTTATATTTTAATGTGTATATTGCATTGAGAAAAATCTCAAAAGATATTCCACAAAATAGTAACAGTGCTTTGGGCTTGGGTAGTGAAATTATGGAGTTTATAAGAGAACTTCAAGAAGTTGGGAACCAGCAGTTAGCATAATGGCTATGTCACTGGACTCCCACATAGTCGACCATGGTTCGCAACCCGGACACGGTGGCTTAAAACCCACGCCAGGCACGTGTGCGTGCATGCTCAAGATCCCGAGAGGAGAATGGAGGAGAAGGGATTGTGGCATGGTCATCCCCCCTGAGAGGTGATTTCTCGCTTTCTGTCTCTCTGTCTCTCTCTGTCTTCTGGGAGCGCACGCGCCTTATAGCAAAAACCTCTCAAAAAAGAAAAAAAATAAATAAAAAGAAGTTCATGGGAAAATGTAATATTGGGTTGTCACGAACATCATGATTTTTTTTTCTATTTTTAAATGTAAAAATGCATCATGACCTTTCTAACAACTCAATCAAAGTACAAATTTATTCTAGTGGAGAAAAATTTTGAAGTCCATGCAACTGCTTTTCATAATACACATTTTCCATTAACTCTCTGAAGACTCTTTTTATTTTTTCATTCCTTATTTTGTTTGTTTTTGTTTCTTTGTTTTAGTAGACATTATTTTTCAGAACTTCCTTAGGTTCATGACAAAATAGATTGGAAGATACAGAGATGTCCCCTGCCCCCACACATGCAGAGCCTCCCCAGTTATCAGCATCCTCCACCAGAGTAGTACATTTGTTACTGCTGATGAACCTCGGTATCATTGTCACCCAAAGTCCACAGCCTACATCATTCCACCTGGGACATTTTCAAATACTGAAATTCTCCACTGAAAACAATGACTTCTTTTCTCTCTGCTCTCTATAATTTCATTATTTCCAAAATATAGCTTATCTACACAGGAGAACATTTCACAAATGATAAAAAAAAATTACCACATAAGGATGTTACTGTTATATAGAGCAAATTAAGCATCTCTCACACAACCCCCTGCATTCCATTCTTGTCAGTGAGTGGTAACTGTGAGAACTCTGGTCATCTGTCTGACTACTTTGTTAGTGAAGCCTTTCACATCACTTAAAACTAGAACTAAGTGTAACTTAGCTCTCCAGAATAAAAGTTCTGACATATTACACATATCAGCCATATTCAACACTTCATATTTATTTGGTCTAAAAGAAAAAGTAACAAAGTCATTTGAAAAATAACATACTCAGTTGCCTGTTTGTAGTGCTTCAAGTCTTTCTTTAAATTCTTGTTCTCAGCTTCTAAAAACATAATCTGAGTATAGACATCTGGAACAGTTCCAACAACCCTAAGTTCCGTTACTCCCTTCTGTATTAATTCATACCTAGGAAAAAATTAGACAAAAGGCTTTATGTCATTTCTTTCTGCCAAATTATCTTAATTTATGCACAATTCAAAAAGTCTTAGAAATTTTATAATAATTAGTCCTTAATACTACATTTAAAAATTAAAATGTCAACATTAATATTATATTTTTAAAATAATAAAATATTAAGAAGTAGTTAGGTACCAATATTATTGTGGAATATAAAACATCTACATTATAGGTGCTGGTGTAGACACCAGTAAAGTTGACGAAACTGCCCATGTCTCTTATCTCATAGAATTTCCATTCTAGTAGGTATAGTAATATGTTATATGACACAAAATAAAGTAGAATTAGAGGAATAGAGAGTAAATGGTAGAGACACTGGTGGGGGCATTTGTGTTATTTTCGAAGTCATGACTGATAAGTGAATGACATAAGTGAATGATATTTGAGCAGGCCTGAAGTAAATGACTATGCTATGTGGGCATCTAGGAAAAAACATCTAGGGCTGATAGAAAAGCAAATGTATAGACCCTGAGACAAGAAAGTATTTGACATCTCCTGTATAAGAAAGAGTAAAAACCTAGTTTATCTGGAGTATCTGGAGCTGGAGTCAACTCAGCAAGAGAGAGCTTAGGGA